ACGACATTCCTTTTAACTGGACGTAGAGTTGTTTGCACAGATCCAGGGGAAGATCATGTTATATATATTTTAAACCAAATTAATGTTTTATAGTAAAAAAGAATATTATTTACAGAATTTTCACAGGCATTAAATTTGAGAGCATTTTTTAATGATTTTTTTCTTCATTTTTTTCTCCGTTCATAGCCTAGTAAACTGATACATCCGAAAACTTTTGGTAAGTAAATTGGAGGGTAGTCTAAAACTCTTAATATGTTAATCTGGTGCAAAGACTCTCAATGGATCATGACAAGCTTTCAATCATACCACTTAGAAGTAATTAGATAATATAAAAGTCCTGCGATACTGTTCAAATCAAATGAATTTTATTAATTTTTTTAATGAAGCTGGCCACCAATAATTTCCATAGGCAGTTATATAAATATGATATAAATAAGAAAATAGTAGATTCTTCACATGGAAAACTTTTTGTTATAAACAATATATATTCATAAATTAATTATGATATTAATAGAATTAAAGTTTGAATTTTAACACAAATATGCACTTAATTTATTAAAATTAAAAGGTGATATCAATTCTGCAAAATATCACGTGATTTTCAAATAGCGTAACAATTTTAAATAGAAAATCTAATTGTTATCAACAATGATAAATCACATATTTTCCTGGTGTAAATTTTTCGAGGTTTAAGGAAAAAAAAATGTCAATGGAGATTTGATTTCCTTGTTGGCTAAGTATGTATAAGTTATTATGTATATGAAATTTTGCATTTCGTAGTGGAAATAAGTTCGTAGGACTCTTCATACCTCGAAAGCAACGAAAATTAAACCCCCACAAAAATAAAGGATTTCACAATTCTTGCTAATACTATTATATTTGTATCTACTACTCTCCTTTATTTCTTATAAAACATGGTAAAAAATAAGTCATTTAACACCTCTAAACAAATTACCTGTATATATATTTTGAGCATCAGCTGTTCCATAAATCAGACACTCAATCATGGACATTTAACAAATATATTAATCACATACTTAATTCTACCTAGAATAATTTTATATACAGATATAAATAAATTTAAACAATAAAATTTCTTTTGTGTTTGTTAGATCGTGAATCATCGTTGCAGCTTTTACAGAGAAAAATTACGTCTTCCTGTAACGTTAATTCTCGTACTGACGATCAAAGAAAGCATATTACTTTTTAAGTTAAATTTGCATAAAATTAGTTAAAATATTTAAAGAATAGCATCTCCGAAAAAAATACATGTTTTCTCACCGTGTAAACATTAACGGTACTGCGTATTTCTAAAGAAGAAGTTGAACATGTGAAAACTCAACAGCGACAAATTTTGATCAGAAAAGCCAAAAGATCAGCAGAGATAAAATTTAATGAAACCCTCTTGTTAAAATTAAAAAAACAACTTTCGACTTTTTACAAACATGTATAAATTAGTATTTTTCTCCTTCATAATTTTGGATTCGTTTTCGATATCCTACCTATTCATCTTGTACAAATTTCTGCATGTAATCATGTATTAGTTTTTGGGATTTTAATAAGGAAGTACACTGAGTGTATACTATTCAAGCAACATATACAAAATGATCATAATGATCACTACGTTGATTAACATAGAATTTTTATAATACTAATTGTGCAAGTAAGTAATAACTCTTATCAAAACAATCATTTCCTGAAAGCAGTACAATTTCAATAGTCATGTTTCAAATCTATCATGCTTACTGAAGAAATGAATACAATCACACTTTCCCGTTATATACATATAGAAACAGGAAATTCATAATTTTAAACGGGGCGTCTTGTTAATTTGAAATGAAAGTTATGTTAGTTTCACTCTAATTATTCCTAGAAATTTAAGAGCGGAAATAATTGAAATTGTTAAAAACGTAGATCACTTTAAACCACCCAGACAGAGAAAATAAAAACGCATGCAGACTTTTGAAATTCCTTGTTCTCTTAATTTCTTTGAAAAGCAATCTTTTCAAAATCAAGCATGATCTTCTTCCGCACGGGGGATCTGTTTTCACGTTTAAGTCGTTTGTAGCATCTATAAGAAAAGACGACACACAATTTGACAGTTAGATGTATATCATATACAACGCTGACAGTCATGCAGTTCCTAACTACAGTATTATGTGGTAATCAGACAATGTTTCTATTTTACACAAATGATGATACTTTTCTGTTATTTTGGATATAACGACATCTTCTATCGTGCGTTTTCCTTAAAAAGAATGACTATCAAGCTTTCCTGCTGTCTATATTTGTTTTTCTCCTAAACATCTAATATATGTACTTTCTTAATTATATATATATATATATATATATATATATATATATATATATATATATATATATATATATATATATATATATATCCAATGAACAAAAGTCAGAAATCACAAATCTCGAAAATCATTTTTACTGTTAGCGCTTTCTGCCTAATGGCTCTTCAGACAGTTAAAAGTTAAATATAAAATTGCTTAGTAACGTTCATAAGCACGACGTCAAGTATTGTCCATTGTGACGTCATAATAACGTTAAAAGGTAGCATTATAATTCGCACCGTTACAATTACGCTTGAAAAGGTTAGAAGAATTTAAATCATATCTCCAAAAACAACATTATCCGGAGAATCTTATCAATGCCGGAATTGAAAAAGCAAAAAACATTCCTACTTCTGTACTAAGAAACACTCGCCGCAAGGATGATAGTGAAAAAAGCGACATCCCTTTTGTTGTGACGCACAATCCACGCAACCACAATATTTTAAGATCAGCCAGGAGATTTTTTCCCATTTTAGAACAATCTCAGAATCTAAAAGACATCATCAAGGAGTCTCAAATTATTAATAGCAGAAGACAGGCACCCAATCTGAAGAAAATCCTAACCAGAGCAAGATTTGCAACAATCAATGCCAAAGTCGTCAAAAAGTGCTGTGACCCACGTTGTGGAACATGTGAATATCTGGAGGAGGGAAGCGAAAAAACTTTAAAATGTGGTAAAAAATTAACACCAAACGCCAACATGACCTGTAAATCAGAAAATGTTATTTACTGCATAACCTGTCCGACCTGTGATGAAAACTACATAGGACAAACCGGCAAACTGAACGCACGAGTGCGAGTCCATAAACAACAAATTCGGGACCCTAGCGTAAGGAATACGCCGTGCAGTGAGCACTTTGCTACCTGTGGGAAAGGGAAATTCAAATTATTTCCATTTTATAAAATGCACAATGACTGTGAAATATCCAGAGTAGCAAAGGAGGACTACTTCATTAAACTATTTAACCCAAAACTTAACAGAAAATAATTACTTCAGTTTTAACTAAAGTTATTTTCTACTTGTTTTTTGGTTTATTTAAGTGATTGTAACGGTGCGAATTATAATGCTACCTTTTAACGTTATTATGACGTCACAATGGACAATACTTGACGTCGTGCTTATGAACGTTACTAAGCAATTTTATATTTAACTTTTAACTGTCTGAAGAGCCATTAGGCAGAAAGCGCTAACAGTAAAAATGATTTTCGAGATTTGTGATTTCTGACTTTTGTTCATTGGATATATTTTACTGTACCAAAACACTGGATTTTTCTTAAATTATATATATATATATATATATATATATATATATATATTTATAGATATTTATAGATATATAGATATAGATATATATATATATATATATATATATATATATATATATATATATATATATATATATATATATATATATATATATATATATATATAAAAACGATAAAATGTGGGAGAACAAATCCTCTTTAAACTTAGGATGTTCAGATAAATATTTCTTACTTACAAGTTATGATAAGGTTTTAACTTTACTTCTGTGCAGAAGTCGATTAGTTCGAATAATTCTGACATTTTAAAACTGTTAATTGCCTGGTCCTCGATAAATAATTTTACATAACCCGGTATATTGCAAAAAAAATCTTACAGAGAAAAATTAACACTGTAAAAATCACTTGGTTATTGAGGGTAAAATTGTTGTGGTTTGAAAAACGATATTTCAGAGAAATTGAGGAATATTATACTTCATTTTTTTTTAATTATCACAAATATAAATTTGTAACCCTCTTTGTTCCGCAAAACATTGATAATTGAACCCAAATGAAAATTCAGGGCTTAACAGGAGTTCAATTATATGAGGAAATGATAAATATTTGTCTGAATTAAAAAGTTGCTTTCTATCTTACTATTATGATAATAATCATTACAGATTGTCAACAAATGAACATAAAAAAGGAAATAATCCTTGTGCAAAACTCTTTTCTAAAACATGAACTTGAACATAGCCATTTAACATTGATTAATTGAATGTCGTTTACTGTAGAATCGAGTAATTGATAAAAAATATACATACTGCACTTTTATTCCTGCATATTTTAGTATTTTTGCAGATGCTTTGTATTTGGGTTTCTCGGCTTTATCATTGGCGTAATATATCACTTTACTTATCCGTGACTGTGCCAGAAGCTTGGCACATTCATTACACGGAAAGAGAGTAACATACACAACACAATCTTTAAGACTAGTCCCGTGTCTATTTATAACGGCATTCATTTCAGCATGGCAAACTGAATATAAAAATCATATTTTCTAGACGTCAAAATATTCAAAGGAAGATAACTTTCATTTTATGATTTTTTTTTAGCTTTACAAGAAAACAATTTCTGGAATATGAAGAAACTAGAGAAGTACCAAAGAGACTTTGCTCCGCCTTGCTCTTTGAAAATGTTGGATCATTTTTCTGTTTGGTCTTTTTTCTTTGAGGGTCAATAAAACCATTGTATCCTGTTGTAACGATTCTTCTCTCACTGTTAACTATACATGTTCCAACCTGAAAGTTTAACACCAGACTGAGTTTAGAATTACATTACACTGACTTGACAAAGTTCCATGGATTCTAGCACAGAGGCAAACGCTAAGTGTACAAGTAAAGAAATTGATTGATTCAGATTGTATATTTTTTAACGTCCCAATTTTCACTCCTATAGAGAGGTCATCATATGCCCGTGAAGAGCCTCAAATTTAAAATCATACTCGTCACCTAGGGTCATAGCGCAGTGAGGGTTCTTTATCGTGCCAACGCCTACCGTGACACGGGATCTACGTTCTCAGGGTCATATCCGAAAGACCCGTGACTTTCATTTCTAATGCCGCGCGCTTGGCGAAGGAACAATCACTACCTATTTTGACGCGGTGCGCGAACGAGAATGGACGCGGACCTCTCGGTTACAAAGCGAACGCTCTACCAATATATTGGATTAAACGCAGCAAATACAACAAAGTTTTAAAAAGGTGACGTTTTAGTTTACTTGTTCTCCTTTTTTCTCCATAAATTATTATCTTGAATGGAGGAGAAAGGGTCAAAAAATAAAATTCACAGAGTTTGAACCATTTTACAATTTTGCAAATTCTATTCTTAATTGTTTTTCAATGCAGAGTGATCTAATTACTTAATTATTTTATTTTATTGTATGTCATCAGAAACATCCAATAGCCAAAAAGACTCTCGGTAGATATTAAACACGTAAATATGCGCATAATCTTTAATATATTTACTCTCATGAAATACATCGTCCATTTTTATCAAATATAATTGGATCAGATGGTTGTTCGAAAAGTTCGTGGACGATGTTATTTTCTCCGAAGATATGTTGCAATTCGAAAGATTTTGTATATTACATTAAATAATGATATATTTTGAAATAATATGCCAAATTTCAGCCAGTTTTACTTACATTTATGTAAGTTATATCAATTTTTATGACGTAGTTATATTTCTATAATTTATGAATACTCTTCTTAGAAACTCATTCGATGCTACGATAAGCCAATTTTATTCGTCAGTAGAAAGTAATTTCGGCACCCAACGAGCACAAACCTTTAGATTTTATGATTATTTCACCTGCCATGGACGCACTTATTTCAAATCTATCCGCTATATCCCTTACTGTTTATATTCTATTTTTCTAAAGATCTTGTAACACAGACGCCGTAAAGTCCAAGTCAATAGTTGGAGGTCGTCCTGACCTTTCATTATCCCAAGTTTCACATCGTCCTTCTTTAAATCGTTTCTACCACTTTTTCACCATTCCTCTTGATACTTTTGACCTATCCCCACATTCATCTAGAAATTGTTTTGTCTCAAAAGGAGTCTTTCTTACTACCATAAAAAATTTTATCACAGCGCACTGTTCTAAGACGTCAAGTTTTTACGCCATTTTCAACGGTGAATCGAGACCACCCCCTTTCATTGTGAATAGAAATTCTGAGAAACACATGCTCAAAATAAGTGAAACTTCTCAAATATGACGATTGTCCATTGTTGAGATGTCATATTGAATATTATAAATTTTCGAGAGGAACTTTTTTTTAAAATTTTGTAATGACAGTATAAACTTAAAAGATTCAAATACGCAGAAAACGAGAATGCTCCGTGACCCCTTCCCAAAGAAATTAGAATGGCTAAAAAATTATTTAATGGACCAAAAAATTGAAAAGTTCTGTTTTTACTGGAAATGTGATAAAATAGAAGCATCCTGGAAAGTTTCACTTTAAACAAACAAATACAGCAGTCAGTACCGAACCCGTCCACGAACTTTTCAAACAACCCTCTTATAAGATATAAAACTTAATTTTTAGTAGGAGTACACTATTTACATAAGATTCCTTTTAATTTTAGCCACATTTCACTTTACAAAGCTTCTTAATTAAATACATATGTTTTTTGTCTCTCGCAACGTCATTTTATTTCATTGAAATCTACGTTTATGAGAAAGGAAAAATTGTACACATGCATTCCAAATGTTGAAATCTGTTCCTATAGTGTCCTGTACGGAAGCTCAATACTGCAAACCAAAAATATATAAAGAAAAACGAAATTATTAAATAAAGAAAAACGAAATTAATATATAAAGAAAAACGAAATTATTAAATAAAGAAAAACGAAATTAATATATAAAGAAAAACAAAATTATTAAATAAAGAAAAACGAAATTTTCGAATAAAGAAAAAACGAAATTATTAAATAAAGAAAAACAAAATTATGAAAAAAAGAAAAACGAAATTATTAAATAAAGAAAGACGAAATTAATATATAAAGAAAAACGAAATTATTAAATAAAGAAAAACGAAATTAATATATAATGAAAAACGAATTTATTATATAAAGAAAAACGAAATTATTAAAAAAAGAAAAACGAAATTATTAAATAAAAAGGAGAGTGAGGGAGAAAGAGAAAATATCAACTGAAACAAATACTTCAATCTAATGTTTGAAGTAAATTGTCAATAATTGTTTAACGGTATACGTAATTTGTTAATGTGTGGCATTATGCATAGAGGATCATGAGGGTGGCTGTTTCTGCTTGATTAAAATTAATGACATCCAATTCAAAAGAGAACTTGAATTGCAAAAGGTCAGGACCTTGCGTATCGTATTACTGGATTCCCACGAACTTAACCTAGCGTCCGATCTGTGTACCCATAAATCTTAAATTGTTTAAACTATAAAAAGAAAAATGATTTGATTACTTTGTGGGATTTGTTATTTACAAGAGTGTGCATTGTTTGTTCACAAATATCACCGACTTATAAATACACAAATTGAGAGTTTATCATTTAAAATATATGAGAACAAGAACTATAGTACCACTGACTTATAAATAGTACAGATTGAGAGTTTGACATTTATAATATGTGAGAACAAGTACTAGTAGCCAGTACATCACCTCTAATTATGCGTTGATAAGACCAAGGAATCAACTGAAGGCGATTTGCTTTACTTCTAATATAGTAAGCAATCATTAAAATCTACTTCTTGTAACCTCTTTGACTTGTTTTACTTTTTGCACCTGTTCTCTTTAAACAATTTTTTATAATGTCAAACAAACCCAAGTCCGATCGATAACGTATTATTCTACAGCATTTTCTAATGAATGTATTGTGCGATAGTTGAATAATGGATAAGGGAATTTCCTTAATGTTAAAAATTCAACAATTACGAGTTGTAAACAATGGAATCTTAACGTTCATGTTTTCTTAAATAGTTGTGAAATTAGATATCAAAGGTTAAATTCTCCCCATCCATGAATTGTAATGGATATGTTTTCGATGTAGGAAAAGGTTAATGTAAAGGCAAACATCTCGCTCGTTTATTGTCGAAACAAAATCAGGTCCATCAGACGCGGTGCACTAATGATTTATGGGTTCAGACCCTTACCGTGCACCTCTATAAATTCCGTATTTTAGTTTCAGTTTTTCTACTTTTAATAATTTCGTTTTTCTTTATATATTAATTTCGTTTTTCTTTATATATTAATTTTGTTTTTCTTTATATATTAATTTCGTTTTCCTTTATTTAATAATTTCGTTTTTCTTTATATATTAATTTCGTTTTTTCTTTATTTAATAATTTTGTTTTTCTTTATATATTAATTTCGTTTTCCTTTATTTAATAATTTCGTTTTTCTTTACATATTAATTTCGTTTTCCTTTATTTAATAATTTCGTTTTTCTTTATATATTAATTTCGTTTTTCTTTATTTAATAAATTTCGTTTTTCTTTATTTAATTAATTTCGTTTTTCTTTATTTAATAATTTCGTTTTTCTTTATATATTAATTTCGTTTTCCTTTATTTAATAATTTCGTTTTTCTTTATATATTAATTTCGTTTTTCTTTATTTAATAATTTCGTTTTTCTTTATATATTAATTTCGTTTGCACTATTGGGCTTCCGTAGTCCTGTTTATTACTCTTTATTTGTATATATTTTTTGTTCAATTCGTCGTAGAAAAGGGGATTGAAAAGGTTATGGCAATTTATCCGTTGCTTTTTAAAACTTCCATTTAAAGAGCAAATGTCATGATTTAACATAAATAAGGTTCTAGCATTTTAATGTTTAATTAGAGATAGTTCAAACTATAGATTTTAAAAAGATGACCTACCGTTCGTACGTTATACTTGCTTCTTTTCGCTGATAAAAAGGCGATTCCCATGAAATATTCATCCCAAGAAATAACATCATTTATCTGTGGACTTAAAGATATTTCTATGTTAAAAGTCATATTATTTAATAAAAATGGCATGTCACATATTTATTTGTCAACTTAGTTTAACACTGAAAACACCTCTTATTATAATATCACTGTACCTTTTTCTTTTGCGGTGCCCTGTTGATCCCTTCACAATATCAGTCCGTTTTGATTTTCCAGTGTTAGACATGTTTCTTTTTATATTTATAAACGTTATATTACGTAAAAGAAACTACTTTTTGTTTAAAAGTTTTGAAATATCTACATGTTTTTTCTAAACAAGGTAAACAAGAATAAATATATACTACATATAGACATTTGGACTATGTATCGCTTTTGTAAAGTTAATCCTTCTTTAAAAAGATACTTACAAGGAATTTCCTTGAATATCCTAGCCCTTTAAGGCGAATTTTAAAAGCGAAAGTGAAAGTGGATATCGATTGCTTTCAAGATAAGTTAGTGCAATAAATATATACCTTTCTCCGCGTTAAATATATATTGAATTTAAAGAATTTAAAGCATAATAAAAACTACGCATATTACTCGGGAGTTCATTTTCGGAAAACAGCACAATTTATTTGAGTATTGTGGGTAACCCCATTTTTCAATAGATATTATGCAATCTTTAAATACAATATCCTTCCTTAAGATAATTTGTTTTTTAAATGTAACTCTTTCATTAGAACTGAACATATAAAAATACCTTTTCAGTTAAAATGAATATCAATAGTCATTAAGTTATTAACACACTGAATTTATCCATGATACAAACTAAAAAGGTAAAAAAAAATCTATCAAAAGTATTTTCATAATGGAAAAAATTCTATCACAATGTAACTTCTATCGAAAATATAACACATATGAATGAAAAAAATAAAAAAAAAATTAACAAACACAAAATAACTTCTGTTTTCTATCAATAATGTAAATAACATCAAGCTAAACCAAACATAGAATGAAAGCAAACTAGCTCTCGTTTTATATTCATAAGGTGACGTCTCAGAAAAGTTTGGGATTGTTGGAGTGTATCACGTTATAACCGTCTCTTGTAAATTGATACGAATTAAACTAATTCGCATTAAACTCCCGTGTGAACGCAATTCAAATTCAGTTTTCACTTCCCAAGTACATACATGTTTAATGAATATTTGAAAAAAGATATTCGATCTGATCAGCTCAGTTATAATGGCACATAATACCACTACACTACTACTATACAACAACATTTTGTCACAAACGATTATTACTTGTAAATACCTATATGTACAGAAACATACAGTGAGTAGTCATTTTTCACGTATGTAAACTGAAATTGAGAATATGATAATGTGGTGCTAAGCTTGCTAAATTTGATTATTCTTTATGTTGCAAACTTTCAAAATTGTGTAAATGATTAACATATTTACCGGTATGGTATGCCTGCACCTGTTCCAACCTCTAGGGTCCTTGTTTTAAGGCTTCTTTACATATTTGTATTGTTTATAGATTTTTATTAGAACAGTCACTATGTGTTATCTTCGCCGTTTACATTACTCCTATGCATATTTCGACCCACCCGTAATTTTCTTTATGTTTCATTCAGAAAATAAAATTGATTATATTAATATTAGTCAGAGAAGCTTAAAAACTTTGTTCACTTTGTAATTTTTAGGTTGTTTAAACAAAACTTAAACGAACAAACTAGTGGTCATTTAAATAATGATTGATAAATATTAATAAAATACATGAGTAGTAACCTTTGTTTTACCAATGATAGTGTCATTTTAACGATATTTATTAAAACGTATAAAAACATCTTCAGTGGTACATACAAAGAACTCTTTGAGATATTTTTGGTCTTGTCTAAAAAAAATATCTATTGGTTTGCAGTTAAACAGAGCAAACAATTGGAACAATTTGAAAAAAAAAATTAAAAAATGTGTTAAAATGTATCAGAATAGAACCGATTGATTTGAGATGGTTATAGTCTTTTTACATACAACACTATTTCAAGTCGTTTTTCTTTAATTTAGTTTTGGACGTTCCTTTCGTTTTTTAGGACTTTTGGGAAAAGCAATTTCTTCAAACTTCAGTGTGATTTCATTTCTACCTAGAGCTGGATCTTTTCCTTCTTCTATGTAGCTTCTATGAAATAAGAAAGTATGGACGAGATATAAATTTTTGGCAATCAGAATAACAGATGATAGGCTTTTTGTTTCCAGAAAGACAATGATTTCTTCTTTTTTTTTAGAAGATTGTACGAACTGAAACGGTAAAAATCAAATAAAATAAAAGGTGTTTAAAGAAAAACGTTAAACAGAAACTTATGAGTATTTTGATTTATATATGTTTTGTACCACAAATATCCTAGATTATTACAAACAGTTGCATTTACTTATTTTTAACATTATAGATTGTGTGATTTAACATTGAGAAATATGTCCGGACGAAAACAGGGATTGCGATTAATCCATAGAATTAATTGTAGATGTATCCACGTCCGTACATATAACATCTAGTGTTAGAGTCTTGCATGTTTGCTTCATATACTTAGATCTTGCCCGCGAGGCACAGTAGTTATGTTATTTACTTAAGAGTCACATAGAAAGGATTTATTCCTTATACTGCAAGTTCAAATCCATTGTGTGATGTTAAATATTTTCAAAAACAACATTTTGTCACAAACGATTATTACTTGTAAGTACCTACATGTACAGAAACATACAGTGAGTAGTCATTTTTCACGTATGTAAACTGAAATTGAGAATATGATAATGTGGTGCTAAGCTTGCTAAATTTTATTATTCTTTATGTTGCAAACTTTCAAAATTGTGTAAATGATGAACATATTTACCGGTATGGTATGCCTGCAAAGTCCAGTATTTTTCTCGAGATAGTGTATTTTTCGCTGTCAGCTTTGTCATTGGCGTAATAAATAACTTTACTTATCCGTGACTGGGCAAGCAGTTTGGCGCATTCATTACAAGGAAAGAACGTAACGTAGGCCGTGCAGCCTTTTAAACTGGTGCCGTGTCTATTTATAACAGCATTCATTTCAGCATGACAAACTAGAAGATAAAATAACGCATTTTTTTTTATACATTTAAGGAATGTTTTTAAGTTTTGTTTGAGTTATTAGTAAGTGAAACACACAGACTTGTCACGAAGACATATTTAATGAAGCGTGCTAGCGCTTCATGAAAAAAGCCTACGTGCAAGTCTGTGTGATTCACACACCAATAATTCACACTAAACTCAAAAACATTACTTATACTTACATTTTACATGAATGAAAGCAACTAAAATATACTCAATATTTGAATTTCTCGCTGCCCTATATCGTTGAATTTTACCAAGCGTCACTGTAGCCTTGTTGTGAAGTTACGTTAGGGCATGTTGTACATTTCTACGCGTGAGTATACACGAAAATGGTTTTCAAGTCAATTTCGCAAATGTAAATAGTCTCTTAAAATTAAACAAATTCAACTTAATATTGAAAGCTTAGTACTTTTTGAATTTAAGTTAATGTTTTTTTTTTTTTTATTCTTAAAGCTTGTTTTTAACATCTTTGTTGTATTTATTAGAATGGTTTTATTTCTCATGAGGTACATGTAAGTGATACCTAGTTAATTTGGGTGACTTTTTGTGCAAACTGAATTATTGTTTGAGTAAGAAGTGAGAAAGACGTATACCAGATAGACGTTTTTCCTCTCCTTCAAATATATCATCGTTGTTCTTTTTTCCATGTATTTTCGATGTACGACGAATTTTGACATTTGAAGTTGTTTGTTCTTCATCATTTTTCAGTGGATCAACATAACCATTATATCCAGTTGAAACAATTCTGTTTTCATCGTTGACTATACACGCACCAACCTGCAATTGTTCGTCGTATAAAATCTCATATCTTTATCATATATTTTATCACATGTTTACCCCTTATTTAGTGGATATAGGTCAAGTGATACTGTAGATTCTTAATATACGCGTGGAATTAATTATCGCGTAATTTCGCGAGAGGCACAAGGCGCGAAATAAATTTACTCGCCCATTTTTATTGTGCTGAAATTTGTGTAAGATCTCTAGATCAATCTACCATTTTCGATTTGATATTCTCGCGATTTGATGTTGAATAGCCCATTCACGATAATAAGTACTCGCTAAAAATAAGGAAACTACAGTATCGTTTTCATATCCCACACTTAAGTGCCGTTATGACGTCACAATTATGGTTTTTGCGTTAGCGTGATGAAGTAAAATATAGCGGATTTCCATATAAAAGCAGTGTAAAACATCGGTTGTGAAGTATTAAAAACATGGGATAAAAAGAATCTCCCATGGTTTGTAGTTGGATATAATTTGTATCCAACTCGTTGTGTGTTTTTATCCCCTCGCCAAGGCTCCGTGAACAAGTTTGGTATGAGAAAAGTTAAAAGATAAAAGAAACATTTATTTAACTTCAAGTGATATTTGATGGGAATGAAGTATTTTTTATTTTCTCTTTTTAATTTTCCTTTTATTCTTTTCCTTTAAAATATCAAATAGTCATTTTCTACAGATATTTTCGTACGATTCATGTAAAAGACCTATTCAGTACACAATACAAAAAATACGGAATTGACGATAACTATTCATCATAAAAGGAAGAATTTCGGAATATTTGCCTATAATTACCTTTCGAACTTCATATTTGCTCCTTTTCGCTGACAGAAAAGCAATACCCATGAAATATTCATCCCATGAAATAATATCGTCGTTCTGTGTGCTGCTCTGCGTGCTGCAATAGTTACACCCGAGAAAGTCATCTCACATTGGTGAGTAAAAGGTACATAAATCTTCTTATTTCATCAATGTGAAATAAGAATTTGGAAAACAGTTTTTAAAAAAAAGTACTAATAAAGAGTTTTATACCATTAACAAGTTTTATAAGCGGTCATTTCGGAAAATTGATCATTTTACAAGTATGACCACACTGTATTCGCTGGACTAGAATAACAAAATTTAAAACATTTACCAGGAAGAAAAATGTATATAATATGGAGTTATCCTTTTGCTAAGCATGTACATAACGTACAAAATGAGGAAACAGAAAACCAAGTAAAAATATTTCTTTCATATAGAAATATTTTTATGACTGTTTATTGCTTACGTTTTTCATACCTTTTTCTTTTGCGCCGTGATTCTGTCGCTTTCTTCCTCTTGGATTTACGAATGTCAGACATGTTCCTTTAATGATGTTGTCAAATATACCTACTGTGAATATGCACTTACAAAGAATTATTTAAAAGGTATGTTTGAATAGGCACAGATCTGATATCATTTTTAAAAAATCCGAGGTCAAATTACAATTCAAGTTATTTCTGAAACGTACAAGTAGATTGATTACAATTGCGGAAATTCAAGGACAGCTCTAGCGGGTTTTACATAAATATATAGATAATAGTTATTTTAAGTAGATTTATCTGGGTTGTTGACTGCTCAACTGTATAGAAGTAGACCGAAAAATATTTTACCGTCAAATATTAAAAACATTCCGATTTTGGCATGCAATCAATGCAAAGTTGACTTGCTCTTTATATATTTCCTAAAATTCAACACGAAAGTTAGCAGATACCCCAATTAATATTTTATAAATAATAATTCGCAGAAAGATATTGCTTATATTAAGGATATGACGTAGGCTAAAACATACTGTAATTAACCAAATTTATCCTGAGGTTTACAATATTCTACTTGGAATCTTTTTTATCAACAAAAACAAAGCTTTGTTCATTATTCAATAACAATAAAATGTACAACTATTTCTTGGTGGTAAAATGATATAAAATGAATGTAACGTTTTGAATACTTTATGTATTGATCATGTGTTATTCTGCAGATTTTCCATTGTGCTACATAAATTTTCACTATTTGATATAAACAAACATATACAAACAACATTCTCAAAAACGTATTTGAAATTCAAATCCCTGAAGAGAAAAATAAAACGTTAGATTTGATTTGCAGAAGTGTGTGAATTGTGCAACATGTTTTGGACAGTCAATGCCCTTGAAATAAAATTAAAATACAGTAAGTTCATTTACTACATGTAAGTCTTCTTCTGACTTCAGGCAAAACAATCCTCATACAAATTGTACATTTCAAATTGGTCACCTTTCTTGACGCCATCATAAAATAAAGCACATTATTATTTTTTATTTATTTTGTGAAGAAAAAAATGCAAGTATCCTTAATTTTGAGCAAGTATTTCGTATTTCCAAGTGCAAGGAAAGAGATAAAAAGGTTTGTAGAAATATTCCTGCTTTTTTCGAGTTTTAGGCATTTGTACGTATATACTCTCTCAAAAATCAATGTCCATTTCGACAAAACATTTGTCTAAGTCCTGACAAACGTCATACAAGATTTTTCTTTGACACATCTTTGTCCCAAATTTTACTTGTTTATCATCTTCTTATAAAATTTCCCTCGTTATTGGATAAATTTTCAGCAAACACAAAAGAGGTTTCAATTAACATGAATGGGGTTCAATGCTTATTTAAGAAGAAGAAAAGCCTAAGGCTCTATTTATGGTGTATTATTTTCATAACATGTCCGTGTCGAGAGTACATAAAGTAAAGATATGCGAGTGAGTTAAGGCTCAATATAGGCATTTCTATGCGTATGAACTAATGAAAATGCATAATTAGTTTATTTCATATACGGGGGAAGTTCAAGTTAATTTTTTTTTAATTTAAACTAAGTACCTACGGCATGTTAAAATTATGGCTTCACATTATGGCGTCACAAAATGATGTCATTTTTCTTTCCCATTCAGTTAATAAACACATCAACAAAACAACGTCGACACAACGACATAACCTATTTAATTCAAAATAGATAATGTTTCATATTAAAGAGATTATTCTAAAAATTAATACAATTGCTGCACATATCCCATGCATTTTTTCAAGTGTCGACATTTTTGCAGCAACATCTTGAATCCTTAGAATATATTCTCCCTCAATGTTTACCTCGTTTCTGTAAAACAAAGTAAGTTATGCCCTTGCCCCGGAGCGATTTTGTTGAAGTTCCTTGTAAACTTATGTTTTAGATCTCGATGACGTCATCATATGGCGTCATAATATGTACTGACTATGACATGTCGTGGGTAACAAGATCGTATATTATACCAAGTCTAAACTTTTTCTGTGTGGTAGGTTTAGTCATTATGGGTTTTAATTATATTTTTGAATAAAAACCTCTTTACGTAGCCTTACCTTCTTGCGTTAAGGATAAACATTTTTCGAAAAGTAAGGAAATCTGTTTTATTCACATTAACATTATATGCATTGAAATAATACAAAATTACGGTAAATTAAGCAACAGTGTCTAACTTGCTCCCATCACTTAAGGGCAATGGCTACATATGTCTTCTCATAAATATCATATAAATGTGTAACTTATTTTGTCACTATTACACTATTAGGATGTAGAATTAAAGCCACCTTGATCTCACTGTACTGAATGAGATGACATCATAGACTAGTTTAACACTCGGTTTCTCTACAGGTTTGTCCACTTCATATGGTGGATCACACCCCTCAATTAAAATGCTGAAATAGCCCCATTGAACAGTGGTAAAAAAAAAAAGATAGACCAGAAACGCAAAATAATTCAACAAAAATTTATCAATATTTGTCACAGAATTGGATCGGGGTGTTATTTCTCACGCTTCATTTCCGTCAACAATACAGACTTGTTTAGATTTGACGGAACCAACCCCCTGAGCTAGGCAACATGACTTTCTTAAATAATGTAATGTAAGTGGATTGTGGTCCTTCATTCTAGGGAGGAGGAAAGTTTTCCCCTAATGTAAAGTAATGGAGGAACATCATACTGATGCCTGTGGCGAGTCCGGAGGGATAAGTGGAAGGGTTTTTTGAACATATCTGACTCGTTGTTTCCCTGTCCAGCCTGCAGATAAGTTGAGGGCGCATTTTTGGGTTGACAGGTTCTTTATAAGGTATCCAACTTATGGTAAAGTTTAATAAAAGTAAAGTAAAAAGTCAATTTAGAAGTCTTTCGATTGGGGTCGTAGCTACCGGGTAAGTTGAAGGCCTGGGGCACCCTGGAGTACTGGAGTACTTGGGTGTTAAAGTACTGCTGACCAGAAGCAATCATCGGAAGCAGGGTATACAGATGTGCTCGCAATTCTCCAGTGCCCAATTGCCTAGTGTCTAAATTTGGGATCCAAGGCACCTATGACCGACACAGGGCCACTGGTACTCTTTAGTCGGTATGCCAGTTGTCCTTCCTGGACCCTATTTTCATTTGTAGATTTCTGCAATGATACCATTTAACACCTACTCTCCCCTTTTGTCCATCACAGTTATGAATGACACAAGATTGTACATGCTTTTCCAAGTCTTTAATAAATTTAATGAAAACTATACAACTGTTGTCTAATGCAAAGTTAACATCAAGGACAGGGAATAGTGACCCTATGATCAGTACATGATGGGGTATTTTTGGAATTTGAGAACATAAGAAATATTTTTACATGGTTGTTGATAGAAATAAATCTGTAGGTATGTCTTATTCGCTTATTTCGCAAATATGTGATAGTTGGGTTTTTCTGTAATCGAGAAACGTAATCATGACGCGTTTTTCTCATGTTCATGTATTGTTAAAGTATGTCCTGTGCAATATGTTCTGTGCAATATTGAGCTCAACTTAACCAATAAATATTTTACAGTAAACCAATAACATGACGATCATGAATTTGAACTTAATTTTCCAATATTATATGAAAGGATTTTTTTTCAAATTGATGTTTTGTTTTTATTTTCATGGCAATACCTATGAAATATTCATCTCATTTATCTGTGAACTGAACAAATATTCTATGTTAAAGGCTTTTCTTATATTTTCATAAAAATGACATAGAATGTTAAATATTTAGCTGTCAACATAGTTTTACAATCATCAAGTCCTTTTTCATTATACCATTTTACCTTTTTTCTTTTACGTCGCCCTATTGGTTTGTCCAAGATATCAGTCCGTTTTGATTTCCGAGTGTAAGGCATTTGTTTTTTGAATTTATAAAGTTAATATTATATTTCTAGTAGGACACTACTTTCTGTGTGAAATTTTTAAAAATATGTACATGCTCTTTGTAAACAAGGGAATACGTATACTAGATTTTGGACTGTACATAATTTTTGAAAAATTAATCCTTCTAAAAAAATATTCATTGGGAATTTACTTTCATATTCAAGCCCTTTTGAGAAAAGAGAAAGTTGATTTCATATGCTTTAAAGATAAGCCTGTGTAATAAATACCTGTATACGTGAATTTAAAGCGTAATAAAGACTACGCAATTACCCAGGAGTTCATTTTCGGAAAGTAGCACATTTTATTTGGGTATTGTGGGTAACCCTATTTTTCAATAGATATTATGCAATCTTTAAATACAATATCCTTCCTTTAGATAAATTTTTTTTTAATGAAATTTGAAACGTCCAATTTAATCAAGCGTATAAAAGTACCTGTTTTGTTGCATTGAATATATATGCATATAACAAAAGTTACACATTGAAGAATTTATCAATGATATTTAAATCAAACAAGAGGCCCAAGGGCCACATCGCTCACCTGAGCACATCTACTAGGAAAAAGCACATATCAGATCAAAACTGAAAGTTAACCGGGGGGGGGGGGGGGGCTTGAATTTTAACCCACCTGGGTGTCATGATTTGAACAATGTACAATCTACACTACCTGAGGATGATTCCATATAAATAGAAAAATATCACTAATCATGGCTTTGAAGTACTTGAAAAGAAGATTTTAAAAGGTTTCCCTATATATCCTTATGTACAAATTTGGTGAGCCAATTTGGGCCCAAAACTAGCCCCAGAGGTCATGATTTGAACAAGCTTGAATCTTCACTAACTGAGGATGATTCCACATAAGTTTCGTCTTTCCTGGCCCAAAGGTTCTTGAGAAGAAGATTTTAAAAGTTTTTCCTATATATTCCTATGTAAAACTTTGGTCAGCCATTTTGGCCCCATCCTAGCCCCGGGGGTCATGATTTAAACAAACTTGAATCTACAATACCTGAGGATGATACCACAAGTGTTTTTTATCTTTCCTGGCATAGTGGTTCTTGAGAAGAAGATTTTTAAAGATTTTTTTTATATATTCCTATGTAAAACTTTGGTCAGCCATTTTGGCCCCACCCTAGCCCCGGGGGTCATGATTTGAAAAAACTTGAATCTACACTACCTGAGGATAATTTCATTTAAGTTTCATATTTCCTTTCTCAATGATT